AAAACTGAGCATGTGAGACCCCCATGGGGATGAAGTTCCATGGAGAAGAAGTAGTGCTGCCTCTGCCTCAGGGGTTAGCCTCCAAGTCAGTGAGTGAAGGACAGAAGCTTGTGTGGTCAAAGTGATTTGCGGGAGCCTCTTCAGCCACTTGCCAACCACAATTCGCCTGGACTTCTCCACACAACTCGGTTCAGTAAATCTCCTGCACACTTAAAGCTTGAGAATCACAAAGACAGTCTAAAGAAAACATTCCTCTCTTCTTCTTCTCTCCTTTCCAGACCCCACCCTGAAAAGGGTCTATGGTCAGACATCCAGCTTTTCAAATATTCCACCTTTAAGATGGCTGTAATCTCTACTGTGTGGGGCAGATGTTGGCTGCCCAACCCAGCAGCTACTTCCAAAAACTTCCTCTCTTGCCTTCCTCCCACACCAGAGGCCAGAACAGCAGCTCATTCCTTTCCCAGCCTCCCTTGCAGTAAATGTGACCAGATAGCCCAGTTCTGAGTAATGAAATGTGAAAGGAACTTCTGGGAAGGCATTTGTTTCATTTTGTTTTGTTTTTCCTTGATAAAAGAGACAGATACCAGATGAGAATGGAGAGGGCTGCTCTTTTCCTCCTATTTTGCTTTGAACACGGATGTGACGCTTGGATTTGTGGCAGCCATTTGAAACCCTGAGGTGTCAAGCATGAGAACAAAATGTGAACAGGCTAAGGAAGTCAGAATAAAATCATGAAAGGAGCTGAGTTCTTGACAGCACCCCTACATTATGGGCCAACTGGGAGGCTCGTCTGCCTCTGTGATTCTTGTTTATTTGTTAGAATAGGTTCAGACATGAGTGACAGAAAGCCTAAACTGATGATTGTAAACAAAATGTAAGTTTATTTCTTATAGAAATCCAGGTCATAGATGAAAACATGGCTCCACAAATTTCAGGGACCAGGTTCAACATGTAGCTTTCATCATGTGGCCTAAGATGCTGCTCTAGCCCCAGCCATCACATGTGGATTCAGCCACCAAGATGGAGAAAAGGAGAGTTGATGAGCAGGACTTCTGTCTGTAACACACCCCGGAAGTTGCAAGCACCACTTCCTTCTACCAGAACTTAGTCACTTGACCACATCTACTACTTGGGAGACTGAGAAACGTAGACTCTACTTGGACATCCATGTGCCCAACCAACATTTGACATGTTAAGGAATGACTAGTGGTGACTGCTGCATGAGTAAACATTAAAAGGTTTACATATAGTTAGTTGCATTGTCTGTTACTTGCAGTCAATAGCATTCCTAGCTCATATTCAGTGAATCTCAAAAGCATCTCTCAGATTTCCATTTCCAACCAACATGGGAAAGTGGGGACTTAATTTTTCTTCCTGCATGAAGCAGTAACAAACCTGGGCAAAATACAAGAAACAATTACATTCAAAACTTTGGATGTCAAGCTGTGAAGGACAGTGATTCCTGAATGATGAAAATTGAATGAGGAAAAGCCAACTTATTGGCTTGAGAGCATTTCCAGGCAGAGGTGCTGGGAGGAGAAACTCGGAGAAATACACAGAAGAGAACCCTGAATATCTTCAGAGAGTTTCCCTCAAGTAATCAGCAGTAAACATGTCAGTGCTTGTATATGAGGAAACGAACTGAGATTAGGAGAACCATTAGAAAAGATTAGAGGGAACAGTGCCTGGGGCTGATACAGCTCATATCGGTCCATACAGTGGCTGTTTCCACCAGCCAGTCTAGAAAACCTCTTAATTCACACAGCATTAGATACCGTACTCAGGTATTGTCTTTCAGATTTGTTAGAGCAGCATTTATCTAGCAATGGTCTTGCATTGATAACAAATCCAAAAGACAATACTTGAAATGATCAAACTGCTTCCCAATAACTTAACTGAGTACCAGAACAAAATTTAAGAATATTTATGGAAATACAAAGCCAGCATATACAGTAAAATTCACAATGTCTGGTACCCAATAAAATATCTTCAGGCATACAAAGAAGCAGAAAAATATGACCCTTAGTAAAGAAAAATCAAACAATCAAAAGCAAATCAGAACTGACACAGATGTTAGAATTATCAGACTAAGGCATTAAAACATTTATAGTTGTATTATAAATGTATAAAAGCTCAAGAGACCTAATTCAAACTTCTGCAGATAAAAACTACATGTCTGAGATGAGAAGTTAATGGCAAATTAACACATTGCAGAAAAAGAGATGAATAAAATTGAAGACACAGCAAAAGAAATAATATAAGGTGATACCCAGAGATAAAAAAGATAAAATAAATACAGTACATCAGAGAAAACTTCAAGAAACCTAATAAATGTTTAATTAGGATTCCCAAACAGGGGAGAGTTGAGTTTAACAAAAAGATATATAAATAAACAATGGCCAAAAAATTACAAACTATGATATAAACTATTAATCCACAGATGCAAGAATATCAACAAACCCCAAGCACAAGAAACATAAAGAAGAAGACACCAAGGTATGTCATGATCAAATTGTTTAAAACCAGTAATTTAAAAAAACCTTGAAAGGAGCCATATAAAAAGGCATATTACAGGCTGGGTGCGGTGGCTCACGCCTGTAATCCCAGCACTTTGGGAGGATGAGGTGGGTGGATCACCTGAGGTCAGGAGTTAGAGACCAACCCGATCAACATGAAGAAACCCCATCTCTATTAAAAAATACAAAAATTAGCTGGGTGTGGTAGTGCATGCCTATAATCCCAGCTACTCGGGAGGCTGAGGCAGGAGAATCACTTGAACCCAGGAAGTGGAGGTTGCAGTGAGCTAAGATCATACCATTGCACTCCAGCCTGGACAATAAGAGTGAAACTCTGTCTCAAAAAAAAAAAAAAAAGGCATATTACACACACAGGGACAAAGATAAGGATGACAGCATACTTCTTGTTGGAAACAATGCAAACGAGAAAACAGTGGAATATCATCTAAATGCTGAAGGAGTGGAGGATGGGGAAGGATTGTTAACCTAGAATTCTATACTCAGCAAAAAACAAAGCCAAAGTAAAGAAACTTTCAACAATGGCTGAAAGAATTACCAACAGAACCACTTCAAAAAAAAAATAATAATAATACTACCAGAAGTCCTTCAGGCAGAAGGAAAATTATACTAGTTGAAAATATGAGTTTATACAAAAGGATGAAGAGCCCTGAAAATGGTAACCATGTGGGAAATGTATAAGACTTCTTTCTTGTTATCAGAATCTTTTCAAAAGTTAATTGATGGACCAAAAGTAATAACAATGTATTTTGGCTAATGTAAAGGCTAATGTAAATGAAGGGGCATAATATCACTTGAAGGTGACCTGCAATAAATGATGTTTACTAAAAATCCTAAAGCAACCATTAAAATAACAGTTATAGATATAAGCCAACAAAAGAGATAAAGTGAAATAATAAAAAAATGCTCAATTAAACAAACAAACAAAAAAAACAGACAGGACAAATAGAGAACAAGTAGCAAGATGGCAGATTTAAAACTAGCTATATCAATACATACAGTCAATGCAAATGGTCATGACACTCCAAATAAAAGACAGAGATTTCCATAATGGATAAGAAAGCAAGACTCAAGTGTATGCCACCATAAGAAATCTATTTCAAAAATAAAGTCACAAATAAGTAAGAAGTAGGAGGATGGGAAAAGATATACCATGCTAATACACATCAAAAGAAATACATAGTAGCTATTATATATGAATATCAGAAAAAGTAAATTTCACAGCAAAGAATATTACCAGAAATAAAAGGTAATTTCATATTATTATTATTAATGGAGCCAACTCATCAGGAAAAATAACAATCTAAAACATTTGTGCACCTAATAACAGAACTTCAAAATACACTAGCCAGCAAGTGACAGAACTTCAAGGACAAATAGATAAATCCACAGTCATAATCTAATATTTAAGTACCCTGACCTCAATAATTGATAACTGATAAAAGAAATAAACAGAAAATCAGCCACAATATAGAAGCCTTAAATCACACTATGAGCAAACTTGCCCTAATTGACATTTATAGAAAACTCAAGTCAGCATATTCTTCTGTAGTGCACGGAGAACATTTACCAAGACTTACCACATTCTGGGCCACAAAACTGTCCCAATAAATATTAAAGGATCCAAAGTCACATAAAGTCTATTTTCAGGTTGCAACAGAATTAAATTAGAAATCAATAACTAAAAGATAACCTGGAAATCCCCAAGTATTTGAGAAGTAAGTGACACACTTTTAAATAACCCATGGGCAAAGGAAGAATATTTTTTAAATTGTAAAGTTTTTTGAACTGAATAAAATCAAAACATAATATATTAATACTTGCAGATATTATTAAAGCAGTACTTAGAGAAAATTTATAGCACTGACGCTTATATTGGAAAAGAGGAATGATCTCAAATCAATGTCCTTAGTTTTCACCTTAAGAAACTAGGGGACAAAAAAGCAAATTACATTTAAAGAAAGCAGGGCTCGGCATGGTGGCTCACGCCTGTAATCCCAGCACTTTGGGAGGCCAAGGCTGGCAGATCACCTGAGGTCAGGAGTTCGACACCAGCCTGGTCAACATGGTGAAACCCCGTCTCTACTAAAAAGACAAATATTAGCTGGGCATGGTGGTGGTCGCCTGTAATCCCAGCTACTCAGGAGGCTGAGGCAGAATTGCTTGAACCTGGGAGGCAGAAGTTGCAGTGAACCAAGACCGCACCATCACACTCCAGCCTGGGTGACAACAGCGAAACTCTGTCCCCCCCAAAAAAAAAACCATAAAGAAAGAAAGAAAGCAGAAGTAGTAAAGATTAGACTGGAAATAAGTGAAATATAAAACAGAGAGGGTGAGAGAGTGTGTGTGGCGGCGTGTGAGTCCCGTTTTATTACTCCTACAGTGCTCTGTAAGCTCATCTTTCTGCAGCTCTTGTGTGTTTTCTTGTTTTATTTCTTCAATGTCTGCCTCTCTGCTCTCTCCTAGGTCTGCCAGCTAGAAGAGCAGATTTGATTTGAGGGCAGTTGGGAAGCCATCCAATCTGGAGAGCCTCTACAATTAGGAAAACAAGGTCTGGAATTCCTGGACTTCACTCCTTGTTAGCGAGAAAGCGAAACACGTGATGCTCTGCTTTGCTCTCAGTGTCAAAACCTTGTGTTCATGGGCCCTGGCGACTGCACAGAGAGCCCTGAGTACTGAAATCCTGCATGGGTACATTTTGATGGGGCAGGAAGAAAAGTTCCGGAGCGTGGAGAGCGGAGGTCCAGAGCATTCACTGATTTATCCACAGAACAGATGCGGAAACCAGGGCACAGCAGGAAAAGTGAAACTTCCAGCAAAGCCCAGTTCATAACGTGAGGCTTTGTGAGGTTCATGTGTGCGACCTTCACCCCCTCACCTGGACCCCCTCTTTGTCCTCCTTTTGCACCCAGTGATGTTTGACCTGGATCCTTTCCCTGCCCTCAAGTCTTGCCCTGGCCTGACGTTCAGCGGGGCCTCCGTGCATTAAGGATGGAGGATGGTTCTTTGTGCTTTCTCTACCAGGTGAACTTGAATCTGCTCGGAATTCTGGAGAGCAAAGACCCACTGGCCCCACTAATCCATCTATTGATCCTGCCCCGGTCACCAGGCTGGGTCTAGCCTCCACACTGCCGCTGCTCAGGGTCTGGGGAGGAAGTCACTGCAGCCATTCAGCCAGGTGGGGCTTACATAGGGGTGTGGGTAGCACAGAGCTCAGAACCTGGGGCTCTGGTTACAGGAGGACTGCAAGTGATAAGCCCACAGAGCATGGGGACGGGGGAAGGGGAAGCCGGAAAGACGCACGTTGTGAGCAAGGGGTCACAGAGGAGATGGGGAGTCATGGGAGGATGCCTGCCCAGCTGTCACTGCCCATACCTACGGTGCAGTGGAGGAAGATGCGCGATGCTCTGGGCCTACCTTGGGGGCACCCGGTAGTCCCCAGGCAAGGACTGACCTGTCCTCGCTGGGAGGATGCGCTGCACAGGGCAGATGGAAGTGCCTGCGAGGGCCAGCCTAAGCTGTGAGGTGGTGGGGCCCAATTGTTATAGGCACAGGACGCCACAGCAAGGGAAGGGAGGGCAGAGGCCAGGAAAGGGAGCTGCTCAGGGATCGGTTGGCCTCGTTCTTGCCCACCACAACAATTGCTGCTGAAACTGGGGCCACCCTGCTCTAATGTCCCCTGGCTGGGGAGGGGGCAACCTGACTCACTGTAGCTCAAAGTCCCCGGGTCCCCAGAGCCCCCGTTGCTGATACACAGCAGGATGATTCACCCCTCTGTGGGGCTCCTGGAGCCTCCCCTCATGGCAGCCGGCTTCTGAGGCCCGTGCTACCAGGTATGTCACCACTCGTGGGGGCATGTACACGCCATATGAGTTTGCCTGGGTTGACACAACAAACTGTCAAAGGCTGGGGGCTCAAACAACAGACTTCTATCGTCTCTCAGTCACGGAGCCTGGAAGTCGAAGATCAGGGTGTCTGCAGGGTGGGCTTCTCCTGTGACCTCTCTCCTTGGCTTGTGGATGGCCGCCTTCTCCCTGTAACCACTCATGATCATCCCTCTGTGTGCGTCAGGGTGGTCATCTCCTCTTTTTATGAGTACAGAAGTCATACCAGATTAGGGCTAACCAATGAGCTCATTTTAACTAAAAACTCCTATATCTGATAAATGAATTCAGTAAACTTTCAGGATACAAAATCAATGTACATAAATCAGTAGCACTGCTCTACACCAACAACAGCCAAGCTGAGAATCAAATCAAGAACTCAACTCCTTTTACAACAGCTGCAAAATAAATAAACAAATAAATAAATACATATATACATATATACTTAGGAATATACTTAACCAAGGAAGTGAAGGAAAACTACAAAACACTGCTGAAAGAAATCATAGATGACACAGACAAATAGAAACACAACCCATGCTCATGGATGGGTAGAATCAATATTGTGAAAATGACTATACTGCCAAAAGCAATCTGCAGATTTAATGCAATTCCCATCAAAATGCCATCATAATTCCTCACAGAAGTAGAAAAAACAATCCTAAAATTTATGTAGAACCAAAAAAGAGCCTGCATAGCCAAAGCAATACCAAGCAGAAAGAACAAATCTGGAGACATCACATTACCTGACTTCAAACTATATCACAAGGCTATAGTTACCAAAACAGCATGGTACTGGTATAAAAATAGTCATATAGACCAATGGAACAGAATAGAGAACCCAGAAATAAAGCTAAATATTTACAGCCAACTGATCTTCAACAATGCATACAAAAACATAAAGTGAGGAAAGGGCACCCTATTCAACAAATAGTGCTGGGACAATTGGCAAGCCACATGTAGAATGAAACTGGATCCTCATCTCTCACCTTATACAAAAATCAACTCAAGATGGATCAAAGACTTAAATCTAAGAACTGAAACCATAAAGATTCTAGAAGATAACATCAGAAAAACTCTTCTAGACATTGGCTTAGGCAAAGAATTTATGACTAAAAACCCAAAAGCACATGCAATAAGGACAAAATAAATAAATGAGATATAATGAAGCTGAAAAGCTTCTGCATAGCTAATAATAATAATAATAATAATCAGCAGAGTAAACAGACAACCCACAAAGTGGGAGAAAATCTTTACAATCTATACATCCAACAAAGGAATAATATCCAGAATCTGCAAGGAACTCAAACAAATCAGAAAAAAAAAAAAAAAACACCCTAAATAATTCCATCAAGAAGTGGGCTAAGGACATGAATAGATAATTTACAAAAGAAGATATACAAACAACCAACAAACATATGAAAAACACTGAACATCACTAATTATCAGGAAAATGCAAATCAAAACCGCAATGAGATACCACCTTACTCCCGCAAGAATGGACATAATTAAAAATGAAAAATTAATAGATGTTGGCAGTGATGTGGTGAAAAGGGAGCACTTCTACACTGCTTGTGGGAATGTAAACTAGTACAACCACTATGGAAACCAGTATGGAGATTCCTTAAAGAACTAAAAGTAGAACTACCATTTGATCCAGCAATCCCACTACTGGGTACCTACCCAGAAGAAAAGAAGCCATTATATGAAAAAGACACTTGCACATGCATGTTTATAGCAGCACAATTCACAATTGCAAAAATATGGAACCTACCTAAATGCCCATCAACCAATGAGTGGATTAAAGAAAATGTGGTATATAAACATGGAATACCATTCGGCCATAAAACAGAGTGAAATAATGGCCTTTGCAGCAACTTAAATGGAGCTGGAGGCCATGAATAATGAATAAGTGAAGTAACTCAGAAATAGAAAACCAAACATCATATGTGCTCACTTATAAGGGGGAGCTAAGCTATGAGGATGCAAAGGCATAAGAATAATACAATGGACTTTGGGGACTTGTGGGGAGAGGTGGGTGAGGGATGAAAGACTATATACTGGGTACAGTGCACACTGCTTGGGTTATCGGTACACCAAAATCTCAGAAATCACCACTAAAGAACTTATCCATGCAACCAAAAACCACCTGTTCCCCAAAAACGATTGAGATAAAAAAAGAACTGGATTGTGAACCCATAAATGGATTCAAATTTATGTAAAAATTAGTATATGATAGAAAGCAATATTTTACAATAGTGGGGCAATAATAAATTAATTAAAAAGTAGTGTTAGGTCAACAGGCTTATCATTTGGAGTTAAAGTTAGATACGATACATGATATCTTACATCAAAATAAATTCCAGATTCATTACTTAAGCATAAAGATGAAGAAGGCTGTTAAAATATGGTGCTAGAAAAATAAACAGTTAGGTGACTCTTTTAACAAATATAAAACAGGGCAAGTATAACACTGTAGCTAGAAACTATAAAAGAAGACATTGCAAGATTTAACTAACAAAATTTTAAAAATTAAGTTTAGAATTAATCACCACACAGAAAGTTACTAGGCGCAGTGGCACATGCCTGTTGTCCTAGCTACTTGGGAGGCTGAGATGGGAGGATCGCTTGAGCCCAGAGTTCAAGTCCAGCTTGGGCAACATAGCAAGACCCTGCATCTAAAAAACAAAACAAAACAAAAAAGACCCTGCAGATGCAAGACCCTGCATCTAAAAAACAAACAAAAAAGAAAGTTACTAAAGAAATGATCAACTAGAAAATAAAAATGTTTGTATCACAAAGTTAATACCTTAAGTATATACATAATTCTTACAAACTAAGAAGAAAGAGATGAACATCCCCCCAAAATAATGAGCAGTAACAACTGCCAACTTTTTCTATTTGAGAATGGAAGCTGCCTTAATGAATTAATTTGTATTCCCTTCAGAACAAACTTTTGAAGTAGTTACTGTGTTTTCTACACTTTGGAGGTAAGGAATCAGAAGCTTAGGGAGTATAACCAAACTCCCACATTCACTTGGCTGGATTTGCAGATTCAGGCCATAGCCCCAGGCATGCTAGGTGCTAATCCCTAGGCTTCAGGCCTCTCTTGAAAAGACAAGGTATCTAAATTGCTAAGAAATTTAATTTGGCAGATTAAGAATGCATGTTGCGCCGGGCGCGGTGGCTCACGCCTATAATCCCAGCACTTTGGGAGGCCAAGGCAGGCGGATCATGAGGTCAGGAGATTGAGACCATCCTGACTAACATGGTGAAACCCCATCTCTATTAAAAATACAAAAAATTAGCCGGGCATGGTGGCGGAGGCCTATAGTCCCAGCTACTCGGGAGGCTGAGCCAAGAGAATGGCGTGAACCCGGGAGACAGAGCTTGCAGTGAGCCGAGATTGTGCCACTGCACTCCACCTGGGCGATAGAGCAAGACTCCATATATAAATTTAGCACACATTAAAGATAACAGTAAGATTTTTCAAGCCCTCCTCAGACTGAGAAACATGAAAGATGAGTAACACCCAGCGTTAGTGACACTGTGGGATGTTAAAGAAAATATTATTCAGTATTTAAATAATATCTTGTTAAAGCATGGCAAGGTAGGCTTTATTCAGGACCATTGTGATAGGTACAGGGACAACAGCAATGGAACTGTGCAGTGGGGAAGAGAGATCAGGCTCAACTACGAATACACCACAGACAAGTCGGAATTTACAACCAGGAGCCAGACTAGGTTCAGTGGATGGGAAATGACTAAGAGGAAGTATCAGGGTTTAGGGAGTCCCTGGCTAATCCAACCTAACAGTGTTCTTGCTGAAGACAGGTCAGCATAACCAGCATCACCTGGGGGATGGTGGTGGATGAAGAATCTGATCAGACATGAAGGACAAGGAGTTCTTGCCAAACTGACTTAGCTTTGTTCTTGCTAAATCTGGATTTTGCAAGGAAGTACACAGATGGGTCAAGGGGAAGGTTCAGAAGCCTGACTAAAGTTTGGCCAAGCATATCATCTTTGTCAAGGGACAGTCAGCCTCACTTGTTCGTAGCCATGTGAAGTTGATCACATCTCTGGGTGAAAGGGAGGGTGCCACGGGAGGGGAGGAGGCACTGATATGGCCATGACACTCGGGATGCGAATGTGGACACCTTTGTATCCTCAGTGCCATACTTTGTATCCTGAGTTGATTTGGGCCTTTTGACCAAAGGAACCAGGAAACTAATCTTAGAGCAGCATGTGGTGACTAGGGTACAGAGACAGGCTTTGAGCAAAGGCCTGGATGTAGATCCCAGCATTGCCCTCACTAGAAGTATAGGCTTGGGCCACAGAAGCTGGAGGTTCTTCATCTTCCAAAGTGGGTGGTAACTGTATCTGCTTTTAAAGTTGTTGTAAGGACCTGGCAGGCTGTAGAAGAGCCTAAGCTGTTTTTGTCTTCTGTGATTGTTTGCTTTTTAAAAACAATCATCTGACAGCTGTTATTGGAATATGTATTTATATATGTATGTAGTCCTGTATGAGCATATATGTATGTGTATATGTATGTATATGAATGTATGTACATGCATGTATGTACATGTGTGTGCATGCTCATGTACATCTATGTGTATCTATGTGCATGTGCATATAAGTGCATGCATGTGCACGTATGTGTGCACATGTGTATGTGTATTATGCATATATATAAATCCATAGATGTATGTATATATGCACGTATATACATGTATGTGTGTATCTATGCATGCATGAACATGCACGTGTGTATGTGTGCATATCTGTGTGTATGCGTGTGTGTGTGTGTGTGTGTGTGTGTGTGTGTGGAGGGGCAGGGCCACTGGCAAAAGACTTGGCTGTAGGAGTAGAGAGGCTCTGACACGGAGGTTTCTTCCTAGCAGCAGGGCAAAGGGAGCAGAGGTGCTTGGAAGGGAAAGAAGGAACCCGATTTTCTCTGGAGAGGGCCCCCAAAGCCTGTGCAAGGCTCGTTCTTGGGCTGCTGACCTCAGCAGCAGAGACGGGGCAAAGCCAGAGAGGCCAAAGGCAACCAAGGGTCAGCCTGCAAGCAGAGAAAAGTGCTCAGTTAAAAAATGACTCGAGCCACCCTTTGGACGGACTGAAGGCCTTGCTCTTCCTCCTGCTCCACAGGCTATCAACTGGTGTGTGGCTTAATTATTGACGTTTAAAAGTGAGTTAACTGCTTTCTTACAGATGAATCACAATTAATAAATGTGGAAGGAATGAGAGACGAAGACGATGAGCACCAGAGGACTGCAGGGAGCACGACTGAGGCAACATCACCAGAGGAGAATAAAATTAGCAGACAGAGATCTAAGCACAAACAGTGTCTCTGTGTAGCCTTAAAGCATCTCTTGGAATATTTAATAGTTACAAAGGAAAAACAGTGAGTTAACTGGGGAGAACCCTGGCAGGCACCACCCTAACCAAGAGATCAAGGTTGGCATGACCAGGCACAAGGCACACTGACAGCCCGCACCCACTGATGTGGCCCACCGAGAATGCACATCACTTCTGTGGCATTGCCACGGAATTTCCAAAAAGGCATTACCTCAGTCCAATGCAGAGAAGGCGTCAGGCAGACCTAGGCGGAGGGGCTGTCCACAGAGCAACAGATCCATCCTCTTAAAAAGCCGGCCCTGACAGACAGGAGACAGTGAGAGATGACAGCCAAATGCACGTGGGAGCTGGGAACAGAGGAGGGCACTGGGGGGCCTGCCTGCCATCCAGCTCTCGAGACCACGGCGAGGTGAGCCTCAGCTCTCATAATCGCACTGTGATTCATGAAATGCGGCATGAGAAGAGGCTGGGTGGGGGAGGCTGCTTTCACAACTCTTCTGTAAGTCTAAAATTATCTCAAAATGGGACACTTTCGAAAGTGAGTTCATGAATAGAAATAGGCAATGGCAGTGTGTGTGTCATCTTCCAAGCATATTCCACGGCCCTTGCTAGGATCCGACTTGTGCTGACTTAGGAACAAGTACTGCAGGTGAGACAGCACCACTGTGAGCACTTTCTGCAGGGTCTTCTGGGCATGGAAGGGGCTACCTGAGCCCTGGGATGAGAGGCATTTAGAGTCTGACGATGACACGTCTCAAACCAGGCCTCTCTCAGACAGTCCAGGCCCTGTGGCCACCAGGTGTGTGCTTACACATGCCAGAAATGCTTCACCCCTACAGACATGTCTGGGTTCTCCACAGCTCCTCCCAGATCCCACGGAGGCGCCTGGAATGTAACCTGGACAAAATGGAGCTCCAGATTCCACCCACCCACAAGCCAGTTTCTCCTCTGTCTTCCCCAGGTCAGAAAATGGTCCCAAACCAATAACTCATCATCTTTTCTTTTTGAGACAGGGCCTCACTCTGTCATCCACTGCTAGACTGCAGTAGCACAATCATGGCTCATTGTACCCACAACATCCCCAGCTCAAGTGATTCTCCTACCTCCGCCTCCCAAGTAGCTAAGACTACAAGTGTGCACCATCACACCTGGCTATTTTTTGTTTGTTTGTTTGTTTTTGTTTTTAGAGATGGGGTCTTGCTATGTTTCCCAGGCTGGTCTTGAACTCCTGAGCTTAAGTGATCCTCTCACCTCAGCCTCCCAAAGTGCTGGGACTAGAGGCATGAGCCGCCGCCCCTGGCCTAAACATCATCTTTGATTCTCTGTTTCTTTCATGCTACCCTGTTTGCCCTGCCTCCAAAATCTATCCTTAGTCCATCACTTTTTCCCCCTCTGCCCCTTCATCTATTCTCCACCAGGCAGACAACCAAGACTTTTAAACCTCCATCAGATTTGTCCTCTCCTGGCTTGGACCCCTGCAGTGACTCCTTACCTGGATCCAGCCTCCCCTGCCTCTCCTGCCATCTGCAGACCCTCAAAAGGTCCTCTTTGTCTCCTTCTGCAAGCTGTACCCCTGCCCTGCCTTTTCCTGCTAAGCACTGGCTGCTTCCCTCCCCTCACCCAGACTCAACCCCAGGGACACCTCCCCGGCTGCTGCTCGCTCGCTCTTCCTCCTCATCTCATCCTCTTTCCTCTGCAGTGCAGAGGCCTGGAATGCTCTTCACTGATCCTTTAGATCAGTGGTTAATCGACCCCACTCTTCTAATGCCCATCCATGAGAGCAGGGCCTTCTCTTTCCCTGTTTTGTATCTCAAATCTAGAACAGCATCTGGCACACATAGATGTTCAATAGACACTCCTAAAGTTAATTACTTAGTGAATTAGCCACTTTGCCATCTTTAACTGTAGCCCTCCCGTGGGGCGGAGCAGGAGCTGGGCAGATGAGCTGGCCCAGAGATTTTCTGTAGGGAAAGATAGCAATAGAAACTCTTGGCCCTGTGGCTGAGTCTGTGGGAAATGGAGAGTCACTTGGGGTGACATAGGGTCACCTGGAGCCCGCTAATTCCTCAGAAGTGGTGGAACTCTTCCCACCTGTTAATGAATGGCGCAGTGTGAGAACTAGGACCCCAGCCCTGTACTCCCCCAGAGCCAGTCTGTACCTGGCCTCAGGTAGTCATGCCACAGGGAATCTGCTCCGCATCCTGAGAAGTGGAGGAAGAAGAAACCAACCAAACAGCAGGGTGCAAAGGAGGCGGCTTGCCTTGGGGACTGGAATGAATGCTCCTCTGGTTTTACTGTTTCAGCCACTTCCGTGGGCACTTAGGGTGTGGAGGGAATGAATTAGGTGAGCCGTGATGGCAGCAGACCACAGGAATTAAAGGGATGGCATTTGTTGAGTGGGTACTTGGGGACTTCTGGGCTGAAGGAAGAGGGGGCTAAGGCCGGCAAGGAGCAGGGATCATGACAGTTCCAGGGCACCTGGCTGGCTGGCCCAGCCATGAGATTTGAAACCTCGTCTCCTGGTGCTGCCGGATCCATGGAGCCTGAGTTCTAGGCCTCTGTTCATCCCTAACATTCCTGGGTGACCAGCTGATCAGCCAGGAATGATGATGGCAGAGTCCTGGTCACAGATGCAATTGACCCAGGGACATCTGTGAGTCTGGAGGAAGCGCAGATCAATGGCAAAGGCCAGGACGCAGCCAGCTGGGAGAGTGGCAGCCCCGGCCTCCTTCCCTCCTCCAGGGAGCATTGCTGCTGCGGTTCAGGAACACTCTTCTGCAGTTTACTTATTGACCAGCCAAAGTCTTGACAGTTTTAAAGAACACTCTTTAATTTATCTCAATGTCCAATCTCAGTCCTCCCAGTTCTGGTGAACCTTCCTCCGTCCCAACCATGGTTATTCATTCCATGTGGGCTCCTCTTTCTTCTTAGCCTCTCCACCTACATTGTTCTGGACGCTTCTCAAGCTTTTCTCCTGCTCAGCTGGCCCTCTTTTGTGCAGTGTCAGTTTGATGTTTCGCAACTTCCAGGCATTATTTTCAGGGGTCTTTTGCAGGTCTCCTATTTTTGGCCTCATTAAAAAATATCGTGGGCTGCTCTGGTCTTAAGGTTGCCATGCCCTCTTTCATTTCCTTGCAGGTTGGTTTCTGCCATCCTCCGAAATTTCAAGTGGGGAGCCACCTGGAGACTAGGTGAAGAGAGCAAGGGCACTGCCCCTTCCTGCCGGAGCCCCTCCCTAGGGTCACAGGTGCCTTTTCTTCCACTTGCTCAGAAGTCTTTCCATTTAACTGCCTTTCCTCTTCAGTGGCTGCTGAGGGTTCCTGGTTGTGGGAGAATGTTTCAGACATGGCCCTCTGTCACCTTCTCTGAAGGCAGTGGCCTGTAATAAGATGAAAGTGGATAAAGATAAAAAGATTTAAAAAATGGTAAAAGTACAGAATGAGACATTTTGACAAGGTTAATTTTATATGACAATTTTGAAGTAGCTCCATCAAATGGCTACATTAAATGTAAAGGTGGTATATACTTTAAAATTGCCAAATAATATGTAAAGTGACCCAGTTCTGTTTTCTTCCAGATTCAAAAGGGAATTGGGTCATTCCTTCTCCAAAGCAGAAAGTACCACAGCTGTGAGAGTTCTAGGAGAAAATTCAGGTGGATGTTTCTGTAATCTTGGAATGGAGGCTAAGCCTGGCAACGATGCTAGAAAACAGTGCTGAAGTTTGACAGATTTAGCCACATGCAATGGCAAATGACAAACTGTAAAAGGAATTCTTGTAAGACAGAAAAAGGAAGGAAGGAAGGAAAGAAGGAAGGAAGGAAGGAAGGGAGGGAGGAAGGAAGGAAAGAAGGAAGGAAAGGGGCACCCTAATAGGGCAAACAGTAGTATAGGTTAGAAATAACTTTGAAAGAACCACAGGGTGCTGGTGGGTCAATCAGGGACAGACAGACCCCCTCTTCCAGGGGATGTACTGGGCTGGGGTGGGGTCCACAGGTGCAGCCCTGGAGCTGGGCTTGCCTGTCTGCTTCCAAGCATCCCTGTGCTTTCCCTGTGATCTGGCAGTCCCCACTATGAGAGTCTAGCCTGGGAATGTGCTATAGGGAAGCTTACAGCAGCAGACCGTAGAAAAGCAAAATAGAAATGTGAAAGGAAAATAAAAACTTGGTACTCCAATTCCCTCTGCCAGAAGAAAAAAAAAAAAGCTGAAAGTGGAGTCATGCAAGAAGCTGCCTTTCCCTTTGTTCCTAAGCAGATCGAGACAGATAAAAGGTTAAAGATCTCCACTCTGTGTTCACCTTATCTTATGTGAAGAGCCGAGTTACCCAGCATGGAAAGAACACATAATTGACCATTCCCCTACATGCTCCTTTTCTTTTGCAACATGGGGATTCAGTAATGTGATCATACCCTCCCTCTGTCCCCTCCAGCCAGCTTTTCTCCTTTAAATACTGAAGTCCTCGAAATCATCTTTGGAGAAAGGCACAGACCTGTCTCCCAAGATGTGTCCTTAATCTTGGCAAAGTAAACCTCTAAGTTGATTGAGGCCTGTCTCAGATATTTTCAGGTTTACAGAGAGAAACTCAGTTTCAGTCACAAAGAGAATGATAAAATAAGGTGTATGCATCCATAGAAAGAAGATATTAACATGGTAAGCCCTGTATTTATTAACTTATGCTTATGATAAGTAAAAACAGGCTGCACAGTCACAGGTGGAATATGGCTATAAGGAGAGAAGAAGTGAGAAATATATCGTCTTTTAAATTCATTTCCTTTATTACTAGTGAGGTTGAGGATGTTTTCCCATTTAGGGGCCGGTTACTTTGTCTTCTGTGAATTGCCTGTTAAATCCTTACCCATTTCCTACTCTTTTCTTATTGATTGGAAAGACATGTTTATGCAACACAGATATTAACCATTGGCACATTACTTCTATTGTAAACTATTTTCTCCCTGCCTGGAATTTGTCCTGTAATTTGTTTAAGGAGCCACTCATTTAGTTTTTGCAATATTCAAATCTGTCAGTCATTTCCTTTACGGTTTCCAGGTTTTGTTTCCTGCATAGCAAAAGCCTTCTTCACCGTGGGATTTTAAAAATATTCTTCCATATTTGGCTCTAAAACTTTTATAGATCTTTTAAATGTTTAGCTCTTTAATACACCTGGAGTTTATTCTTGCAAATGGTAAGAAGATTCTAACATTGGTTTCAAAATGGATAGTGAGTTTTCCCCAAAGGCTCTGTTGACCTTCCATTTTTCCAGCTCAGCTTTGAAAGGCCTCCTCTATCAAATACTAAATTTCCACATAAACATGAATCTGTTTCTGGATTTTCTGTGTGAATTACTGAAGTCTTTTTGAGCTTTTCGAAATCATCTTCAGGATTCCTACATATTTTCTCTTTCAGATGAACTTTCAAATCAGCTTCTCGTCAACATCCTGTTGCGATTTTCATTGATATTGAACTGAATTTATAGACTTTGCAAGCAGAAAAAAATTTTTTTAATTTTTTTGAGGAAAAAAGTTTTAAATGGTTTGTTTTCAGATTGTGTCAAGATATCCCTACCTCCGAAGCTGTCAGGCTTGCAGGCCTTGGGGTGAAGCGTGGGGCTGCTGGAGGCGTCCAACTCTGTGTGTCCAGGACAGTGAGCCCCGAAGCGAGCGGGCCGTGCTGATGGCACAGCCAACTTCACACCCTCGGTCCAGGGAGGACTAAGGGACAAGCTGCAGCAGGCGCAGAGGACGCAGTTAGTGTCCGGGAGGCCGCTAGTGCAGGGCGTTGGGCGTGACTCCTTTTGCACTTCCCAGGCTGGGCTGTGGAAGCAGGGTCGGGGGCAACTAGCGTGGGGACTGAAGCAGCCAGCCTTGGCACCTGCCCACGGCAAATAACTGACTTGACTTGGTCTGGTTTTTTTTGAAGAAAGGTTTATTCACACATTATGTGCACATGTGTAAATTCAAACCCACGGCTTGCCGGAGCCTGGACTTTCTCGAAGATCAGTTGCTCCCATGCTACCGTTTTGCAGTTTGCCCGTCTCCAGTAGACGATTTCTGAATATTTTAATCAACTCATTATTAACCATTCACACGTCCACATTAGCCTCATTTTAAGCAATCGCACCTGTGGGTTTCACAGGCCAGCCGTATTTTTAGTACATACTAAATAAAACATGACTGTCGGGGCGTGCTATGCTTGCCCACCTGCCATGTCATTGTAGCCGCACGCTGGTAGAGAGGACGGAGCCTGAGTCCGGGTGCCGAAGGCCCTGGTCTTGCCCGGGCTTTGGCCCCAGCCGCTGCCAAAGACCTAGAGGAAAGAATTTCAGCGTTGGGGCTTCATCCGCCTCTCGCCTCTCGTGGAATCAGGACTTCGACTCAGCGCTCCAATTGCTGGGGCGGTGAAAGGCGTATCCCCGGCGGCGCGGCGCCTGAGGGAGCCTCGGGAGCAGATTCCCATGCACAGACCCTTGCGGTGATGGGGTCGGAGGGGGAAATCCAAGCTCCAGAGCAAGCCGGGGCTGGCTTGGAGCCAAGGAGTGTCCTTATTCTGTAGCTCCCAGAGCTCACAGGAGGGGTCTGGGGAGGAAGCGGACAGCCGGGAGTCGGGGCAGAAGAAAGCGCCCACATCAACTGGCTGGCACGAACCACATGTCCCCTAGAACGGGAATCCCTGCCGGGTGAGGGAGGCCGGAGCTAAGCCGCAGCCCCAGGAAGGGCGGGGCCTCTTCAAAGCATTCCCTCCGCAACGCTTTGGTAGCCCTGGGACTCCAGCCTCGCCTGCCAGCCCCAGCTCAAAGGGCCTCTGTCTCTCTTAGGCCTGGGGGTGGGAGCAGCCTCAAGATAATGGAGTGCGTGAGCTGAGGCCTCATTCAGACCTCTCCCCACCGTAAGGAGAAAACAGAGGTCCCGGGCAGGGAGCGCGACTGGGCAGAATCATACAGCCAGCTCGGGGCTCCAGTTACAGTCCCCTGAACCAGCCCAGGCCATCCCTGACTCCCAGGGGACACTGGTAGCTGTTTTGGCTCTATGAGGGGGGCTAATGCTGTAGAAAACATGCCGCAGGCATCGTGCAAAAGGGATGAGAAGGAAAATTTTAAAAGTGGGACAAATACAGTATAGAATGCTAAGCTAATATGCTTAAACATCTTAAAGCAATACGTAATTTTTAAAAGAAATGTCAGGCCAGGGGTCATGGCCTGTAATCCCAGCACTTTGGGAGGGAGAGGCAGGAGCATCCCTTGAGTCTAGGAGTTTGAGACCAGCCTGGGCAACATAGGCAGACCTCGACTCTTAAAAAAATAAAATAAATGTCAAGTACTAAAATTAACTCAAGATATTTAAAAAAATACCAGAGAAGAAATCTCACTTAGGTGCAAGTCTCAAAATCATAGCAAAGCAAATGTAGCAGATGTAAACTGAAAATGAAATTCTAAGTCTCCCCCAACCATCTGAATGGACCCCTCCTCTTAGCCAAAGGCATTCCATAGTTAACCTGAAAAACTAGTTTAGGTCATGATGGGAAGAGGGGTGGTGGGACATGCCTCATTATACCTGCCTGTCTTTTGGAATTCAGGAAAAGGTGACCAGTGTTAACATCAACATAGACCTTAGTGTCTGATGAGAAACATTTATCAATTCTCTCCGAAGGCTGCTACTTGGAGGCTTCATCTGTGTGATAAAACCTGGGTCTCCACAACCTCTTATAGTAACCCAGACATTCCTTTCCAATGAAAATAACTCTTTCAAGCAATTACCAGTCAGAAAATTCTTGAACTACCTATGGCTGGGCATGGTGGCTCACACCTGCAATCGCAGCACTTTGGGAGGCTGAGGCAGGCGAATCACAAGGTTCGAGAACAGCCTGGCCAACATGGTGAAACCCCATCTTTACTAAAAATACAAAAAATTAGCTGGGCGTGGTGGAGGGGCGCCTGTAATCCCAGCTACTTGGGAGGCTGAGGCAGGAGAATCGCTTGAACCCAGGAGATGGAGGTTTCGGTGAGCCAAGATCATACCACTGCCCTCCACCTGGGGCGACAGTGCGAGATTCTGTCAAAAACAAACAAAAAAACCTACCTATGACCTGGAAGCCTCCATCTCCCCCTTTAAGTTTACTCATCGTCAGGACCTCCTGAGGCTGTGTCACAGGTGTGTGTTCTTAACCTTGGCAAAATAAACTTTTTCTAAATTGATTGAGCCCTGTCTCAGGTATTTTTGAGTTCATACAGAATCTGAAGAATCCACCAGGACAATAAAACAAACAAAACAAGGCTTGTCCAAGGACTGTAGACATGGATCATTCTTGCAAGATTCATTACTGCTGGGCATTAGATTATCAGGCAAAGCAAGAGATTAGCACCTCAAAAGCTTCCCAATAAGTATTTCATAATGTAATACCATATTTAGTATAAAAAGCTCTTGCTGGTTAGGAATAAAATATCCTTAATGAAACAAAAGAAATTTTATTAGAACCCAACAGGCATCACTATACTTTCAGGGAAAGACTTGAGTGGTATTAAATGCCTTTGAAAATCCAGTGGGGAACCTGGATGTTATACACCCAAAAATAAAGTTGTAGACATACACTGAAAATTTTGTACAGATTTTCAAGGGGCCTATGGGGCTGCCTGAAGCCTTTTGATGGCCCTCCTAGACATGTCTGGACCTTGGCTTCAGGTCTCTGAATTGCAGGGGGTAAGCCGGAGTCACACGCAAGAGTGACGCACACAGTTCTATATTCAAATCCTAGCTCCGCACCCAGATGCGTAACTGTGGACAATTTACTTAACCTAAACTTTGTACCTTTGCTTCCTCATCTGAAACTGTGGCTCACAATGGAACCCACTTCACAATATCGTAAGGAGGATTTAATATTAATGTATGCAAAGCTCCCAGCATAAAATAAGAGCTCAATAATGTGTAGCAATGGACTATTATTCAAAGGAATCACATCCTTTTGGGAATAAAATAAAGATTCCTGCCTCATCTGTCACTATTTCATGTTGTGTTTGAGATCCTAGACAATGAAATGAGTCTAGAAAATTATTTAAGCTGTAAATATTAATAATATAGATAAGAATCATTTTTACAAGTGTAATTTTTAACCCCTCAAATTTAAGAAAATAATATAACAACTATTAGAATCAAGAAATGTTCAGTAAATTAAACAGATTTTCCATAAAATCGAAATAATCATAAGATCTAAAGGGGTATATTCTATCTCTAATAGCAACAAAAACTTAGAAATAAACTGAAACATAATTGTGATTCTAGTCAGGGCAGTAAGTGAAGAAAAATGAATAAAAAGCATCCAGATTGGAAAGGAAGAAGTAATGCTATCTTTATTCACAGATTACATAACTTGTATGTAGGAAATTATAAGAAATCCACTAAAAAACTATTAGAACTAATAAAAGAGTTTAGCAAGTTTGCAGGATACAAGATAAATGAATATACAATAATGTGCCATACAAAAACATTTGTTAACAATGGACTGCATATATAATGAGGGTCCCATAAGATTATAGTGGAGCTGAAAAATTCCTACTACCTACTGACGTCGTAGCTGTCGTAATGTAGTAGCACAATGCATTACTCACCTGCCTGTGGTGATGCTGGCGAAAACAAACCTGCTGTACTTCCAGTCATTTCAAAGTCTAGCACACACAGTTATGTACAGAACATAGTGTTTGATAATGATAATAAACGACTATGTTACTTCTTTATTTATTTACTATATTTTAATTGTGTTTTTAGCATGCACTCCTTCTACTTATTAAAAAAAAAAAAAAAAAGAAAGCTGCTGCAAAACAGTCTCAGACAAGTCTTTCAGGAGGTATCCAGAAGAAGACAATGTCATCACGCAGGAAATGACAGCTCTATGCGACGTAAAGCTGAACACCTTCCAGTGGGACAGAATGTGGAGGGAGGTGGAAGATGGTGATATTGATGATCTTGGCCCTGTGTAAGCCTAGGCTAATGTGTGTGTGTGTCTTCATTTTTAACAAAAAAGGTTAAATAGTAAAAAGAAAAGAAAATAATTTTAAAATAGAAAAATACTTACAGAATAAGGATATAAAGAAAGACAATATTTTTGTATAGCTGAACAATCTATTTGTGTTTTAGTCTGTGTTGTTATGAGTCAAAAAGTTAAAAGAAAATAAGTTTATACAGTAAAACAAATAGGTAAGTTTCATTTATTTAAAATATTTAAATATTTAAAAAATAAATTTAGTGTAACTTGAATGTACAGTGCTCATAAAGTTTACAGTAGTGCATAGCCCGAGGCCTTCATATTCACTCACCACTCACTCACTAACTTGCCCAAAACAACTTCCAACCTGTTAGCTCCATTGATGTTAAGTGCATTACATAGGGGTGTACCATATCTTATCTGTTATAATATATTTTTACTGCCCCTTTTCTATGTTTAGTTATGTTTACATACACAAATACCATTGTGTTACAATTACCTACAGTTTTCAGTATAGTAACATGCAGTTCGGGTTTGCAGCCTAGGAGCAATAGGCTATATTGTACTGTATAGCTTAGACGTGTAGTAGGCTAAATCATTTAGATTTGTGTAAGTACACTCTATGGTGTTCACACAGTGACAAAGTCACCTAACATCACATTTCTCAGAATGTATCCTTGCATTTAAATGATGCATAACTCTACAAAAATTAGTTGCATTTCTATATGCTTGCAGTGAACAATCTGAAAATAAAATAATGAAAACAATTCAATTTGTAATAGCATCTAAAGGAATAAAATGCTTACAAATAAATTTAACAAAAAGAAGTGTGTAAGGGTATTGAAAAAAAACATCATTTCCCCCCACTGTACTCTTACAATACAACATAGAATTCTTCTGTGAACAAATGTATAAGGATTTCTCCCTACCAACCCACCAAGCAAATTTCTGCCAGATTCTCTGGTGGGCAACAGTTAGGTGTTCTCTAATTCAATTAAATTCTGACTCTATTTACCTAGAGATAGTGTCAGATTCCACAGATGGAAGGCTCAGCCCCACTAAACTACCTCCAATTCAGATACCTTGAACCCTGGCTACAAACCCCAGGGTTGCCAGGACCCCCCTCCTCAGGGTCAATTAATTTGCTAGGATGGCTCACCAGAACTCAGGGAAGCACTTTCGCACATTTGCTGGTTTAGTATAAAGGAGATTAAAAAGAAGACACATGAACAGCCAGATGAAGTATACATAGGGTGAGGTATGTGGGAAGGTGTGCGGCACTTTCATGCCCTCTCCAGGCATGCCACCCTCCAGGAACCTCCACATATTCAGCTCTCTAGAAGCTCCCTTAAGCTAGTCTTTTTACGTTTTTAACAGAAGCTCCACTACATAGACATGATTGATTAAATTGTTGGTCACTGGTGATCAACTTAACCTTCAGCTTCTCTCCCCTCTTTGGAGGTTGGGGGTGGGGCTGAAAAGTCCCAACCTTCTAATCATGCCCATGTTTTTTCTGTGACCACCCCCACATCTTCAAACTACTTGGGGGCTGCTATCCACCAGTCATCTCATTAGCATACAAAAGACATCCACAAAAGACATCCTTATCACTCTGGAGATTCTGGGTTTTAGGAGTTGTATGTCAGGAAATACGACAAAAACTATATATATATATATAAATATATTTATATATATGAATATATGTATATCACGATATCACAATGTAATGTGCACAACTTATACTCGGAAAACTACAAAGCTTGTTTGAAAAAAAATTAAAGAACTTAAAAATGGAAGGGCATCCCATGTTTATGGATTGCACATGGTATAAGATGGCAATACTCCCCAAATTGTTCTACAGATTCAAGTCAATCCCTAGATTCTTTATAGAATTTGACAAACTGATCTAAAAATTAATGTGGAAACTCAAGTGACCCAAAATGGCAAAAAGATTTTGAAACAGAAGAATGAAGTTCGAAGGCTTGCATTTCCTAGCTTCAAAACTTACTACAAACCTACAGTAATCAAGACAATGTGGTACCAGCGTGAGAATCAATGGAAGAGAATTGAAAGTCCAGAAATAAATCCATGTGTCTATGGTTAACTAATTTTTAACAAGGGTGCCAGGTGCATTCAACAGGGAAGGAATAATCTCTTTAACAAATGATGCTGAAACAATGGAATACCTTAATGCAAAAGAATGTAGTTGAACACTTACATCTTGCCATATACAAAAAATGACTCAAAATGGATCAAAG